CCCTGGAAGTGTTCAAGGCCAGGTTGGATGAGGCTTTGGGCAACCTGGTCTAGTGGAGGGTGTCCCTGCCCACGGCAGGGGGTTAGAACTAGATGATCTTTAAGGTCCCTTCCAACCCAAACCATTCTATGATTCTATGATTTTGAACTGTCTCTCCCCTTTTGGCAGGTGATCTAACATTTTCACACAAAGTGAGGAAATACAAAATTTCTGACTGTATAGTTGAAAAGATGTGAAGAGAGAGGAAAGACAAACTAATAAAAAGTACTAAACAAGTAGCCAGGCTGTTGCATATACATACAGAAGATGACTTACATGTTCTGAAAAGAACCTTTTGGAGAACGAAGCTACAATTCTCTGGGCTTCTAGACCAGCCTTGTGCCGTGCCTTGTATTCTTCAAGCCAGCTAACACCATCTGTGTGGCTATAGTATTTCAGCAGCGATGGCCATCTACACAAGACAGAAGCGAACAGGTTCATTAGTATTTCAACATCACTGAGAACCTCCAGAACCATAAAATGTTTCATATTGTAACCAGGCGACTTCAAGAGCTGAGACACTGCCAAGACACTGTACAACTTCAAATGTAATTGTATAAATTAATCCAATGACTGACTCAAGCATCAAAGCATCAATCCAACTGATGTCATCTCCATATTAATGCTTATTTAGAAGTAAGGTCTCCTAAAGCCTGCCAACAGGAAACCTTCAAAAGGTTCATACTCCAGGTATTTCAATATCTAAATATCCTGAATACTTCTGAGAATTCCTCTAGAGCTTTGCAAGATAAACATAGGTATCGCGTTAGTAGAAGAGATACAGTTTCATAATAATAAAAAAAAAGTTTGCCATTCTGAAGATGTATCACATTTAAGCTTACTTGTCATCTATAGAATGAGAATTCACTGTCCTGTGTTCTTCCTACTACCTTGTGGGTCTAATTAAAAGGATGCACAAACCAGAGCTCCCTCTATTGCCCTTGCTGGTGGCAACATCTACTGGAGGAAAACAGAGAATTCTGAAGTCAAATTGTGACAGCTAAATGCTTTTGCAGTTCATTTTCAATACAAGAAATAATTATGTTTTTAAAAAACCCACACCTTTCTTGTAAAAGAAAGCTATGCCTGCTTTATCGAACCTAAAAGACCAAAAGCTAAAACGCATTCCATAGTTTACTAAGAAGCATTTCAAGGTGCAAATGAAAACCTAACTTCAGGTAACGTTATGGGGGCTAAGAGCAGCAGTACCTTTTCTAATAAAGCAGGCATGTGCTGCTGCAACGCAGCCCTCTGCAATAAAACACCTGCCGGCCCAGCAATACCCATGACTGTTCTAAGATACCAAGATCATTTGTGTATGAAACACAACGAAGAATCAGCAGATGGAAATATTTTTGATGGGAAAGCAAGCTGAGAGAAAGGCCTCTTATAATTTGCTGGGGGGGTTATTTCACATTTTGAAATTCTGTTAATTATTTACAAAACATTTTCCTTCCGAGTGCATGGATTGCTGTAGGTTCTTTTCAGGTTATATATATATATATA